ATTTTACATTTAATCACTAAAGGATAATATGAATTAAATAGTCTTGTTGATGAGTATGTTTAGCTCCCATATAATGAATATACAATTTATAATTTGCAAATAGTATGTATTGAAAAAAATTTCAATAACGAAACAACTAATTTAAAAGTAGAGTCTGTTCGTGAGGAAAACATATGAACCATTACAACATAGCTGTTTTCCTTTTGCGTACATTTGTTGGAAAAATAACTAAAAACACAAAGTGAAAACAAAGTGAAAACAATAATATTACATTACCTTAAATCTTTTGAAAAGTGTACATTATGCAGTTCGTCTTTACATGACGTACATGTAATTTAAATACTAATCGGAATATATTATTGACATGATTGACGCACACTTAATTTATTTTTAAATACTTTTCCAACTAAAAGCAGACATATGATACCTATCACAAATTGTGCATTTGTATATATTATTTGGCAAATAGACATACACAATTTTTATACATAACTTAGAGGGTAAGTAAAATTCAAAGGAGAAACGACCTTCGGCCTCACCCCCTATGAATTTTACTAACCCTCTATGGTTCCGTAGGGGGTTACTAACAAACCATATAACTTATAGTATCCAATTTCATTTAACGAAATTTTTGGTGTAAATAAAGATACATGGTATAATTGCCAATGATCCAACTATTCACCAACAGTTGACGAGGACGTTAACACATACGGGTCCGTGTACGACCAGACATTGAGCGCAACAGTGTAATCAGCTATGAATAAAAGATTTCGGCATGACTTAAATATGAAAAAAAAATCAAAAATAAATAAATAGCAGACTGATTGGTACCTAAGCAGGTTTTACAAGGATTCGTTTATTGTAAGGAGCATTATACTGCTCAAACACGTTTGGTGATTTCAAAATGTTCATCAACAAAGAGTCTCTGAGGCATATTTATATTGATGCGGGCATCATTTGACATGTATGTGAGAAGCACATGTGAGAAAACAGGTGGAAAAAAAATGTCCAATTTTGTTGGTTCTCTCCGGACACTTCAACTTACACCAACATACTGACTTATAAAAAATAAATGACAACATCTAGCTATCAATACCACCCCCCAAAAAATACAATCGTAGTCAACTCATGTCCGTTGAAAGAGTGTAGCAGTTCTTGTCCGCCAGTGAGTTTGAATTGACAAGACAAGCAATTTGTTTTTAGAATTTAAGCCTGAATACTTAAAATTTCAGATATTATTGCTTGCATTTATTATTGCGAATTTAAAAAAAAATGGACAAAGATGCGAGATAATTTATATAATTGTAATTTCAGGTAAATCTACATACAGTTTTATGTATCTAATATAAGAATGCGATACAACTCCCATTCGCATTATTCACATAAAAAAAAATTCGCAATATAATAATGGCTAAATTTACAGTTTTGTAAGATTCTCAAAATGTACATATTGAGCTGTAAATCTAACATTACTCATGTTAATTAACATACCTTTTGAAATGGCCCTTTTACATTGTATAGTGCAATGAATTCAGGGTTATGGCAATACCTCTTTGATTTTAAAGTCAAATCAATCTTTCGCATGTACAAACACATATGCTCACACAATAGACATATCAATTATGGTCCTCAAAAATAAGAGGTGTCTATGCTATATATGACAAGAACTTAATCAAGTATTAAACAAAATGTAAAGTTTAGTTCTCTATGATGTTTAGGTTTTAAAGTATAAATATAGTGGAGCAGGATCTGCTTACTCTCACTGAGCACACGAATTCACCCCAGCGTTTTTGTGCTGTTGGTGTTGCTTAGTCTTAAGGTTTTTAATTCAGTGTTTCGCTTTTTTTTTCTGCATCTTGTTTTTTTTTTTTTTTTTTGCCTAGGTATTGTCAGTTTCTCTTTGTCTTATCTTTGTAATGTTAATTAATTAGAGAGATTAGACAAAAAATAATGGAACATTTGAATTGGCTTATTTTTGGTGCATATTAATGACATAGCTAACAAAAAAAAAGCTTAAAAAAAGCAAAAACAAAGTTTCTATAGTCTATTGTCTGATAGGCTAGACTATAATTTAATCAGTTTTGCTCCGACGCCCCTGAATTTTAGCAGGCCCTTAATTTCATTTTTTTAATTCAAGCAAACCATATAGTGTCTTCGATAGTCTTTGAATTTTATCAATGTGTTAAAATACAGTAATCATAAAATTTAATAAAACTTTGTTAATTGTTTTATCTATTGACGTAAGCTCCCTTTCGATTTTTATAGATTTTACAATTCCAAGTTATGGGATTTTATTCATAAAATAGGGTGATGTTCCAGGTTTCTGACTATAACTCAAAAATGCTTTGAGCAATTTCCATGAAACTTTGCTGAATTGTTTATATATATAAACATAATTTCCCTTTCAGTTTAAAAAAATTATGATTTCAGTTTTTTTAGTATAGGGACTTTAGACAATAAACCAAAAATGCTTTCACCAATTTTCATGAAACTTTGGTGAAATGTTGAAATCTATTGACGTAAACCCCCTTTTCATTTATATATTTCTTTTTTATAAATTGCAGTTATGGACGGTTTTAGAACTTTATTTGTTCAAAAATCAAGATTACAAACTAAATTACACTTGAGATAGCCATAAATCGAAAATTATTCATGTTTTGTGTCAAATGTAACCACTGTGTGTGCATGTCTTTTTTTCGGTATGGGGGTTGGGGGTTGTGGGGGGGGGGGGGGGGGGTCTTTGAGTAGTGCTCACAGTTTTTCTAGTTGGTCATTAAAATTCTTTTAAAGCATAAAGACAAGCTAAAAGGACAACAGGCTGTCTTATTATTCACCCAAGGCGCAGCTCTTTATTAAACACGTATTATTATATATTAAACAGCAAATAATAATTTATAAAAAATCTCATCAAATAATAATTTTTGATGTGTAGAGCAAAAACTATAGAAGATAAAGAGAAATTATGAACAGCAGAAATTAATTATAGGGGACCACAAGAATTCAATAGCAGTACATTTTAATATGAAGATATTGATAATATAAAAGGTTTTCTTTTAAAAGAAACATATGTTAATGTAGAGTATCACAACAATTACCTATTCAGTTAATCAAAGCATATTAATTCATCATATCATCGTTCATGATACATGTCAGTGAGTTTTATTTTGGTTTTTTTTAACAATTATGGGACTTAGTATGATTGCCAATGAGTCAACGATCCATAAAGACCACCTAACAAAGATTTGAACAATTTAAAGGTCACATTTAAGTTATGCATACCTATGTACATTTTAGTTACCATTATTTCTTTATTAAAACCGTAATACATTGTATACGATCAAATGCACAAAAACATGATACATGAGGTATTTAATCAAATCAAATAAAATAGATCATTAGAATATTTAAATAGGATCAATATGATCTATATGTGCATTATGAAGTGCCAAAGAGATTAAGTGATTTGTTAATTCTATTGTGTATTATAGTTAACGCTTCATGTATATTCAATATACCCAATTGATATGCATGTGGTAGATAGAAAAGTCGACAATAATGAAGAAAAGGCAAGCCGTTGTAGTTTTACAATATTAACATGATTAAGGAATAGTATTTGGTACCAACATTTACTAATTTAATAATGGTGCTTATCATTTCTCCTTTGTTTAACCATTGCTTTGACATTTAAATAGGGTTTTTTAAATCATGTTATCTTTTTTCTGAATCTATTATACTAACTATGGATTTCCGTATAATGGATGTTGCCAAAAAGTGTACCGTATAATGTAAATGGTGTAATGTAAATTATTTTAGCGGAAGTGATAAACAAACAATAAGCAACGAGAAGACAGTTGCCTTTTTAACGTTTTGAATCAAAGTCTTGATAAATAATTTTGAATACCAACATAATTATTTCAGTAAATTTTCTACTTAAATTTGTTTTTTATTATCAAATGTTACTTAATCAATTGGTATAAGATACAATCGTATTATAAGAGGAAATGTGAATTATTATTAGTCAACCAGTTTGAAGGATTAAGTCTATATAACTATGATCTACATTGAAGCGCATATCAATTTTTTAAAAGTCGACAAAGAATGGAGGGACGAGTATATTTTTAGTTGAACAATGAATTCATCGTAATAATTGCACAAATTATTTTGAAGTGAAAAGTGTACAGTCGTAGTACCGTACGTTTCACCTACTGCTTCTGTTAAAAGTGTACTGACCTGAATTTAGAATATACACCTTAATAGTTAGGTAACATCATCAACTTTAAAATGGGGAAAATATTAACTGATTACTAGTATGCAAAATGCTGGAAAAACATCGATTTGAATTTCAATGTTAGTTGTGTGTTATATTTTGATGGGTCTATGCAGTTGTTTTTATCGTAAAGTTCTTTGTTATTGCTTAAATAAAAACTTTATAGGTGACTTTTTATACTAAAATAAATTTTCTTAAACATAATCCAAACCATATACGTATATACATTTGCTATATTTATCTAAATACATGTGGGCATATCACATTTGTATTTTTCGCTTTTTTTATTGGAGTGTTTTCTTAGTGGTTAATAACTAAGGTATGTGTTTGAGAGAAAAATAACTTTCAAATTTATTATTTGAAAACTTGCAGTATAAACACTATTTGACATACAAAAATAAGGAGGTGTGTTAAGATTGTCAATGAGACAACTTTCCACTTTTATACTAGGCAATAGTACGGCCTTCAACAATGAGAAGAAACAAATACCGTATAGTCGGCTATAGAAGGTCCCGACATGAAAAATGCGAAACAATTCAAACGAAAAAAAAACATCGGCCTAACTTATAACAAAACAATTTACGAAAACGAACATCAAAAGAGTTGGCTCATTAACTCATAATTAAACATATGAACCATTACATCATAGCTGTTTTCGTTCTGCGTACATTTGTTTGAAAAATAACTAAAAACACAAAGTGAAAACAAAGTGAAAACAATAATATTACATTACCTTAAATCTTTTGAAAAGTGTACATTATGCAGTTCGTCTTTACATGACGTACATGTAATTTAAATACTAATCGGAATATAATATTGACATGATTGACGCACACTTAATTTATTTTTAAATACTTTTCCAACTAAAAGCAGACATGTGATACCTATCACAAATTGTGCATTTGTATATATTATTTGGCAAATAGACATACACAATTTTTATACATAACTTAGCAAGACTAGTCCCGTGTGCGATAAATTCGTTATACGATTCACTACTGACCTCCGACGGATCCATAGAGGGTAAGTAAAATTCAAAGGAGAATCGACCTTCGGCCTCACCCCCTATGAATTTAACTAAACCTCTATAGTTCCGTAGGGGGTTACTAGCAAACCATGTAACTTATAGTATCCAATTTCAGTTAACGACATTTTTGGTGTAAATAAAGATACATGGTATAATTGCCAATAATCCAACTATTCACCAACAATTGACGAGGACGTTAACACATACGGGTCCGTGTACGACCTGACATTGAGCGCAACAGTGTAATCAGCTATGAATAAAAGATTTCGACATGACTTAAATATGAAAAAAAAATCAAAAATAAATAAATAGCAGACTGATTGGTACCTAAGCAGTTTTTACAAGGATTCGTTTATTGTAAGGAGCATTATACTGCTCAAACACGTTTGGTGATTTCAAAATGTTCATCAACAAAGAGTCTCTGAGGCATATTTATATTCATGCGGGCATCATTTGACATGTATGTGAGAAGCACATGTGAGAAAACAGGTGGAAAAAAATGTCCAATTTTGTTGGTTCTCTCCGGGCACTTCAACTAACTCCAACATACTGACTTATAAAAAATAAATGACAACATCTAGCTATCAATACCACCCCCCAAAAAATACAATCGTAGTCAACTCATGTCCGTTGAAAGAGTGTAGCAGTTCTTGTCCACCAGTGAGTTTGAATTGACAAGACAAGCAATTTGTTTTTTAGTCATGATACATGTCAGTGAGTTTTATTTTGGTTTTTTTTTAACAATTATGGGACTTAGTATGATTGCCAATGAGTCAACGATCCATAAAGACCAACTAACAAAGATTTGAACAATTTAAAGGTCACATTTAAGTTATGCATACCTATGTACATTTTAGTTACCATTATTTCTTTATTAAAACCGTAATACATTGTATACGATCAAATGCACAAAAACATGATACATGAGGTATTTAATCAAATCAAATAAAATAGATCATTAGAATATTTAAATAGGATCAACATGATCTATATGTGCATTATGAAGTGCCAAAGAGATTAAGTGATTTGTTAATTCTATTGTGTATTATAGTTAACGCTTCATGTATATTCAATATACCCAATTGATATGAATGTGGTAGATAGAAAAGTCGACAATAATGAAGAAAAGGCAAGCCGTTGTAGTTTTACAATATTAACATGATTAAGGAATAGTATTTGGTACCAACATTTACTAATTTAATAATGGTGCTTATCATTTCTCCTTTGTTTAACCATTGCTTTGACATTTAAATAGGGTTTTTTAAATCATGTTTTCTTTTTTCTGAATCTATTATACTAACTATGGATTTCCGAATAATGGATATTGCCAAAAAGTGTACCGTATAATGTAAATGGTGTAATGTAAATTATTTTAGCGGAAGTGATAAGCAAACAATAAGCAACGAGAAGACAGTTGCCTTTTTAACGTTTTGAATCAAAGTCTTGATAAATAATTTTGAATATCAACATAATTATTTCAGTAAATTTTCTACTTAAAGGAGTAGGTCCGGTAAGGGCCGATTTTGGCCTCAAATTTCAGGTTCATATGACGAAGGATTTTGGACACTTTTTGAACACTAAAGTGTCTATTTCAGTTGATTCTATTAGTTTATGTGAAAGATTTTAACCGATTTAGTCATTAAAAACGCTCCGATTCAAGCTTAAATATGAAAAATATATCAAATATGCCAAAAATGTCACTTTTCAGATGTTTTTTGTCAAAAATGAAAGTGGCCGCATCCGTGTTCATCCTCAACCTTTATATATGTTATGTATTATCATCAAATACAACTTACATTTCAATATTAAGAATGAACACAAATGCGGCCACTTTCATTTTAGACGGAAACCGTCTAAAATTTAACTAAAATGTTAAAATTGTGAAGATTTCAGTAATTTAGCCTGACTAAAGGATGCTAGTACCCGATATATGTGCATTATATTGTCAAAAACAGCCCATATTTATGTAGCAGAAGCATTCTTCTTACCAATAAATAACTTAAAGTTTACATTTTAACAATTTTGTAAAACTGCTATATTTTTGGGCCAAAAAGGGGTCTTACTGGACCTACTCCTTTGTTTTTTATTATCAAATGTTACTTAATCAATTGGTATAAGATACAATCGTATTATAAGAGGAAATGTGAATTATTATTAGTCAACCAGTTTGAAGGATTAAGTCTATATAACTATGATCTACATTGAAGCGCATATCAAATTTTTAAAAGTCGACAAAGAATGGAGGGACGAGTATATTTTTAGTTGAAGAATGAATTCATCGTAATAATTGCACAAATTTTTTTGAAGTGAAAAGTGTTTAGTCGTAGTGCCGTACGTTTCAGCTACTGCTTCTGTTAAAAGTGTACTGACCTGAATTTAGAATATACACCTTAATAGTTAGGTAACATCATCAACTTTAAAATGGGGAAAATATTAACTGATTACTAGTATGCAAAATGCTGGAAAAACATCGATTTGAATTTCAATGTTGGTTGTGTGTTATATTTTGATGGGTCTATGCAGTTGTTTTTATCGTAAAGTTCTTTGTTATTGCTTAAATAAAAACTTTATAGGTGACTTTTTATACTAAAATAAGTTTTCTTCAACATAATGCAAAACCATATACGTATATACATTTGCTATATTTATCTAAATACATGTGGGCATATCACATTTGTATTTTTCGCTTTTTTTATTGGAGTGTTTTCTTAGTGGTTAATAACTAAGGTATGTGTTTGAGAGAAAAATAACTTTCAAATTTATTATTTGAAAACTTGCAGTATAAACACTATTTGACATACAAAAATAAGGAGGTGTGTTAAGATTGTCAATGAGACAACTTTCCACTTTTATACTAGGCAATAGTACGGCCTTCAACAATGAGAAGAAAAAAATACCGTATAGTCGGCTATAGAAGGTCCCGACATGAAAAATGCGAAACAATTCAAACGAAAAAACCATCGGCCTAACTTATAACAAAACAATTTACGAAAACGAACATCAAAAGAGTTGGCTCATTAACTCATAATTTTGGCCCTAAAAATCTGAAAATGTTTCACTGTGATAATGTAGTATAAACTTGATGAAAAAATATGTTAAAATGTCAAATTGTTTCAGTTAAAACATCTTTTCACCAATTGCGTTATTAGTGATGTAATTATGACGTCATAATGAAGGGGAATTTCGTAAAAACCTGATTTTTCTGCAAAATTGATAACAGTTTTCTGAAAAATTAACAGTGGCGCCATCCTTTGCCCACAAATATTCTTGTTAAAATATTCTTTATATACCATATTCTTTTCTTTTAAATAAAAATTTCAATGGTCGAGGGGTGGCGGCACATTTAAATCATTAAAAAGGTGGGAAAAAATGACAGATTTCTAGAAAACTGGTCAAAAATTAAATATATTCCTATTTCAGGCTAATATAGATATAAATATGAAGCAGGTATACAATTTTCGTTTTATATTTTTAAATATCATACATTTAGCAATGCATACCCATTAGATTTACTTTAATAAAAAGATCGGTACGATGCACAAAAACTACCAACATAAAAACAACGGATTTAGTGTAAAGAGGTTATATACAGTACGAGAAACGCATGACCTTACGCGATGCCGAAATATAAGTAAACCATACAGAAAGGATGTAAGATAATGAGTTTTCATATATTATGTAAATATATCATGTATATAGCAATATATATATTTTTTTTTCAAAGAACAAATTCAATGTTCATACCAATAAAAACAATATTTAAAGAGTTTTTTACTGTGTTAAATCGATAACTTTTAAGCGTACGTTTATTCAAAGGATCAATTGGTTTACATGGATCGTATTAAAATCTACGGGCTTTATAAACAACATCACCGTAAAAAATAGGATGTGATATCCCGTTTTTTTATAAGAACTCTACAGCCAAACTTCCTAACCAAATTACACATGACTGTTATTTATTTATAACGGCTACAAACTAGAAAGAAACCTCGCCAGTGATTTTCTTTTCGTTTTGCTCTTAAACTCTTTCAAAAATATTTTTATAACAACTGTACAGTCAAAATTGAAATAAAGGAAACCTCTTTCAAGCGAAAACTTGTCTTATCAGTTCACTGAGAAGAGCGTCATGTCCGGCTGTAGTACTAATAGTATCTATGCATTTAAAAACTTAGTTCAAAAGTACACTCTTTTATTAGGTAATTTATATTTGGTCCAGAGGGTCCGGAGGGTGACCTGTATATACAGGTTTGCCTGTATTTTTTCTCCGGGATCGGGATGTCGGGATTTAAATTTCTTTAAATTCGGGACCTCGGGATTTCATGTTTTTAAGCCCGGGATTTCGGGATCAGGACCCCCCCCCCCCCCTCATAGAGCAGATTGTTACCCCTAGAAAACATTGTCAACTGAGGCGAAGCCAAGGTTGACAATGTCTTTTCGATTGGGGAACAATCTGCTATATCACCCTCTTAGATATGTGTTATTTAATTTATTATGCTGAATGTTCTGTTATTACTGTCTATTAAATTTCAAATTCAAAGTAATAAACTATGACGTCTTGTACATAACAACCATCCGTATTTAATAAAGCGCACACTTGTTCAAGCGTCTCCGTGAAGGGTAATAGAGTATTTACAATAGGATAGAGTAAATTGCCCCCCTCGTATTAACCAATCAATATCTGGTATTTTGACATGAATTATAATAATAAACTATTTTGTATCATTGAACTATATATTGGCTACAGTTTGGAAGGGATTGCGTTGACTGACAATGCATAACAATAGCGTAATATACTATACGTTTGGGTCAGGCTGCC